AAAAATTATGATATGTCTTGTCAAAAAAATGACATGGCTTAAATTTAAACTAATTAATTAATAAAGATGACATCCAAAAATAACTTATAAAGGAACTAAAATCGTGATTATTAAATATAAATAGATGATTTAAAATCTAACGATTTCGTAATACTAGAAGCACAAATCACGCCTCCATCACGATTTCAGTTTTTTTTTATTATTTTCATCTATTTTGTCAATACTTTTTTTAAAGTGTATTTGTGGAATATACTCAATCAAATACTTTAATTCTTTAGATAAATTTTTGACAAAGATAATACTAAAAATCCGTTGCATTAAATACAAACTTTTTAAAATAGTTCTAATTACTATATAAACTGATCGAGATTTTAGGAAGATATGCAGAAGATTGTGAAATCTCTTAACAACAGGTATGTTAATATTATTTTGAAAAAATTTATACGTATGTAATTCTCTCAAAATTCTAATCGGTTTTTTTTCTACTTTGAAGGTTGCATATTATAGTCTAGAAAGATCTAAAAGTCGATATCCCATCATTGTCATGGTTTGAAAAAGGTGACTCCTTAATCTCTCTATCTTTCTGTGATTTTTGTTGTCGCCTATTTGTTTGCTTCAAAAACGCATCTCAATCTGTGTAGAATTTTGAAAAGAGGAGGGTAAAGATTGGTGTGGTGTATGTCATGTCTTTAATAAGGGAAGCGCATATATGAGCTGTGAAGGAAATTGGTGGTGGCAAGCAAACATAGTATCATCCTGATGTCATAGGTTAGTGTTATAAGAATGAAAGATGTTTTCTTTTATTCTTATTTAGAAAATTTGTGTGTGTTTTTATTGCAAGAGAACCACCATATATGTTGGTTTTTGGATTGTTGAAGAGTTTGTGTTGAATCAGGAACGTTTCATATCAGATGTTATTCTTAAACCTTTTGTTTCTTATTTTGTGGCTATGTTTGTTATTCATGAAGCTTGTATTACCATTACGGCATCACGTCTTTGACATTTTCACTAAATTGGAGAATTCTCGATCATTCCTATCGAACTATAAGCTTGACCAAGAAACTAAAGAGAAGTGT